GTTCAGTCTGGCTAGAAACAATCCATGGCATAGCAGACAGGAAGTAGCAAGCCATCGGGGTGGAGGAGGGATATATACCCTTCCAGGCTCTGCCCACAATAACCCATCTCTTCCCACCAGATTTCACCTCCCACCACATCAGCAGTAAACCCATCAGTGGGCTAATCCAGCATCACACACCCGGCAAGGCTGGGTGAGGGGAGACATCTAGATATAAACCATAACAACTAGTGATGTTTTTCCTCAACATTTTACAATGAAATTGTTCAAATATGAGAATTTAGATAGTAAGATGAATCTTCTTACCAACGCACACACACACATATTTTCAAATTTTTGGCCATCCCATTTGAAAGTAAATGACTGGCATTGTGAAATTTATACCTAGATATCTTAGCTTATAGCTCTTAAGAATAAGAATAATTTACCACAAACACACAGTACTCTTCACACACCTCAGAACATCTAATATCAAGTCCGTATTAAAAATTTTATCAAAATTCCTTTTATTCTTTTCTTGTCAAAAGTAACAATAACAGTATTTAATCTAGGTTCATGCACTGCAATTAATTTTGTGTATTGCCAGGTTCTTTTAGTCTAGAAAAATCATTAAAATGTTTTAAACTTACTTCCAGCCAAATTAACTCTTTTTGGTGTATAGTTTGGTTAGTTTCAATACATGTGTCTATTTGTGTAATCATCACCATCATCAGGCTATAGAACAGCAACATCACCTCAAAGTATTTCCTCAGAATGCCTTTTTAGGGTAGCAACTCCTTTCCTGTGCTCATAATCCCTGGTAATCATTGATCCTGACAACTCTCTTAGCTGTATGTGCTCTGTCCTGCAGTTTGTTTTTTAACAGAATGCCAAATAAATGGAATCATACAGTGTTTAAACTTTCAAAACAGACTTCCTTCGTTTAACATAATTCGTATATACTTCATTCATGTTTTGGGATGTATCAATAGTTCATTTGTAGCCTGTAATTCCAGCACTCTGGGAGGCTGAGAAAAAAGGATAGCAAATTCAAGCCTCACTTGGGCAATGTAATGACTTAGCCTGTTTCAAAATAGAAAATAAAAAAGGATGGGGATATAGCACAGTGCAAAGATCTTGAGTTCAATTCCCAGACAGGAAAAAAAAATAGTTCATTCCTTTTAAAATATCTCATTATATAGATATACCACTTTTTTTTCTATCCGTGTACTCAGTGAAGAACATTTGGAGTTTTACTTTTAATTGATTGTGAATGATACCACTATAAACAAGTACTTGTGTGACCATAAGCTTTTACTTCTCTAGAGCAAATACCTTGATGTGGCCTGCTAGGTGAAGTGGTAAGTGTATGTTTAAAGTTTTAAGAAACTTCCAGCCATTTACTGAGGTAGTAGGTAATTTTTAGGACCCTCATCAGCAACATATGAGAGTTCCCCTTGCTCAGCTCTTACTTTCAACTTGCATTTCCTAGTAACTACTGATGTCAAGCATTTTTTCATATGTGTATTTGCTGTCTGTATGTCTTCTTAAAGTGTCTCTTAAGGTCCTTTGATATATTTTCCCTGAGTTCTTTGCTGTGAAATTGTTGTATTTTGAAAATTTTTTATACTCAATAAAATTTCTTCAGACCTGTTATTTTTAAATGTTTTCTCTTTGTTTTTTGTCATTTTATTCTTCTACCAGGATATATCAGTAAACTAGTGTTTTAACTTTGATAGTCCAATTTATCAATTATTTATTTATTGGATTGTGCTTCTAGTATCTAAAAACACTTTGTTTAACTAGAAACCATGAAGATTTCCTCTTGCATTTTCATTCTGACTTAACTTTTTATTGTCTAGCTTGTTAGTTTTAAATGGCATCACCTGACTGCCTTTTAAATATACAACAACCAATGATTATATTCTTCTTTCCCATTTCTCTTTCTATTCCCCTCCACATAAAGTCTTCACATTTTGTCAGAACATATAATGTTTTATTCTTTCACTATTCCTCAATCTTATTTTAGTCATAGATCTCTGGTTGAATATATTCAATGTTCATTACTAGCACTTTTTTCTGATATTTTTTCTGTTACTTCTCATGACTTGGAGATATGTATATATGTCTACTCTATTTTAAGGTGACTGTCAAGGGGAGAAATTGAATTTATATTGGTGGAAGAAATTATGAGTGGAATGGAATGGGATAGAATATGTTGCTTAATAATATTTATTGAGTGAATATATGTCATGGCCTAAATGAGAATTAAACCAAAGCTGGGTATTAAACTTCATCAATAAGAGCCTTTGCTGATGCTAGTAGTACCTAGCTGTTTAGGGAATAGGAAAATAGAAAGGATGATTAACAGAGATAAGATAAAAAAAATTGGCTATTGCCTCTTCCACAAAACAGCAAAGATTGCTCTTCTGTTGGTCATTCCACCAGGCAGCTGCCCAATTAAGATTCGTTTACTCAGTTGGTCTTTTGACCTTTTCATTGTGGGACAAGAAGAACAGACTCTTACAGATTTTGTTCTCTGCCATGCAATTAAATGTATGTGAGTTTATCTTCCTTTCTTCTCTACTTTAATCCAACCCTTCCTATAGGGGGAGCTAAGGGATTTTAGCACATTAGATGTAATAAATTCACTGTTAATTGAATAGAGAATCATAGTGTTCATAATACAAATATCACAAACCTAACAGTAAATGTTTGTTGAACAGATGCATAGTTGTCTGGGATTTGATATTTCCTCCTGCTTTTCTGAGTGACTTGGAGTTATCAAGAGGTAACCACAGGGTAGGATCAGTAAGGATGGCCATTACAGGCACCAAATGTCACTCAGAGCCACTACTACATCTGGGATCAGGCTTGGAAAAGTTGCCCAAGACCAATGTCCTGAAACTAAAACAGGGAAAAAATAACTTCTCAAAAACAATGCCAAAAATTACTTCCTAATAATTTTTTTTTTTGCAGATGTTAGAGTGAATGGAGTAAGAAAATAAGAATAGAGGAAGCATGTGCTTTGTTCTATCATTGTCAGAATCAGAGTCTGGGATAAAAATCATTTCCTGTTGGTCTGTCTGTCCATCTATCTATCTATCATCTATCTACTCATATTTCTTTTTTGTGAACTAAAGGGTTGCATGAAACTAGCTTTCTCCCATCAACATAGCCCTCATCCTCTCTTTGTTTTCTACGCACTGCTTCCTAATCCCTGGGCCACTTGAAAACAGAAGGGTAGTTAGAAAAAGAAAGTGAAATACATTAATAGAAGGTGAGGGGATGCAACTAGGGGAAATATGCTTGTAATGCCAGCCTATTTGCCCTAAATACATGACAGTATTTTAAGAGATACAACATAAGGGAACTTAAATTACATCTATTAAAACATTTTTACCTACTAAAGTGAATAAACTGTTTTCCAAGTAGTGGTTGCTTAATTTTTTGGATAACTTCAGTCTTCAAAATAGAACAGATGTTGAAAACATTAATGTATAATTTAAAAAATTTATTTATTATTTATCTCATGTTAACTATTTTCATAAAATTTCCTTTTGGTTCTTTTAAAATCTCCACTTAGCCAAGAAAATAATCAGCAAACTTAAGAGTAGGGAAAAATGAATTGCCACTTCCACTGTGGTTTGCCTTTGCAAGCAGTAGAAGTCACTGGTTTTCCTTCTTTGAATAAGGGAAATGAGTTTGGCTAAGGATGGTGAAGATTTATAGGGAAGGGAGAAGAGGGAGGCAAGGAACACACACATGTGCACACACACACACGTCTACATGTGTCTACATGCACAATGGTGGAAACAGGGCAGATGCTGTACTGCCCATGTAAGGATGGACCATGTTTGCATATGGAGGCCATCAGTAGATCAGGTTTGGTGGGCAGGAATTTGCAAAAGAATAAAAGACGGTTTGTGATTACCAACTGAGATCATAGAGAAAGTTTTGTAAGCCATAGCTACTTTTTGGATATTTTAGTGTCAGTAATCTCTCAGTATTTCTCTAGGAATCATTTCTACATACAATATATTTGTAGCTGACTCATATAATGGAAGCTTTATCTAAATGTTATCAAAACAGTGTCAACAAAATTGTGTGAGACCCTGGAATTATAGAATATTTTAAATGTGCTAATTTTTCCTGATCCGTATGTTTTACCCTGTCTATAAATTAAGAGCTCAAATTAATTGATGTTAAAATTTTTCTTAGTTTTCCATATTGTAATACATTTGTTTCTATAAAACATGTAACAGTCCTGGTCATTGTCCATTAATCTTCCATTGTGCACATTAAAAGTATGCAATAATTTATTTTCTGATGCCTACCAATCTTCCCCATTGGGTCATGCTAAAAAATCTAAAATATTCTTTAGCTTCTCTCTCTCTCTCTCTCTCTCTCTTTGTGTGTGTGTGTGTGTGTGTGTGTGTGTGTGTGTATGTAGTTATCCTTTTTTTTTTTTTGGTACCAGGGATGGAACTTGGGACCTTGTGCTTGTGAGGCAGGCAGCGGCATCACAGAGCTAAATCCCCGGCCCTATGTAGTCATCCTATTTTATATATCATTTTCTTCAACACCTTTATCGTTAGTATTTTGTCTTCAAATCTATATTTCTCAAAGCTACTCAAAAAGCTCAATACTATCCTTCAAACAAAGTGGAAAAAAACCCCTGCTTTGTGGAAAAAGTAATAAAAGAAGAAATAAAAAGAGGAGGTAGGACTTTTAAAAAAGGGCAAAGTAACATTATTATTATTATTATTACTACTACTGTTTATTTATTTATTTATTGGTACTGGGGATCGAACTCGGGTCCTTGTACTTACGACACAGGTGGCGGAACCACTAAGCTAAATCCCTGGCCCTAAGCAACATTATTTTTAAATGAAGATAATAAGAATGTACCTTAAAAAATTTAACAGGAAAATTATTAGAATTGGTGGAAATTTGTTAAAATTTCCAGATAGAAAACAGATGTCCAAAGAAGTAAATCCCACCATTTTCTTGCCCTGCAGGCTGAAGGACAGAGCTGCCGGTGCTCCCAGTGAAGATGCTCCCATGACCTTTGCAATCTCACCTGCTCCCTCACAGCATCCGTCCAGCGAGTTTGGGGGATGCCTCGACATTTGCTCATTGTTCCTTTCCTTTTCTTGGCTACCCACGTTGGGCTCAGGTCTAACTGGGTCTGCGGAGACGGAGACGCGGTGCTGCCTTTAACGTCACCATTGGTATCTTCATCCACGAGTAATCGCAGCCCCTTGGAGCTGAAATCTCAAGTATCACCACCTATGAAGAGGAGTTGTGTGTACCTCAAAAGCCCATGTGGGTGGTTTTCCAGAACAAAGGACCCCACCAACTTGTTGAACAATATTTCATTTGTGTAATAGAAAAGCTTCAAAAATATTGTCATTCAGGATTCCCTGAATTCCCTACATTCTCTTGCTTCTGAGGAAATAGCTAATTTCACTCTAGGGTGAGGTGTTCACAAAGGGAGAAAATAAAGTCCTGAGAATCAGAACGGAAAACCAGAGCTCTTCAAGTGGCCGACGTCTATCCCACCTCTTGGATCTGTGTCCTAAGCATGATGTATGTCGGACTCTTCCTCTAATTCCTGTGAAAGGGTAAGTGTTACAAACTGATGATTGTGAATTTCCTTGATTTCACCTATTCTGTGTGTTCTTTGAAGTCCGGGTTTCCAAACACCCTCAGCTGTGGTTAGGATGCTTTGAAGTTTATGTGATGGATTTCACAGTCAGCACAGCAGGTTAGAGTTCCCCTCCTGTATTGTAGAGAGAAATACCCCTACCCTGAGGCCTCATTGTCCACCAATTCAAAGGAAAAAAAGTCTTCAGTATGATAGAAGCTGTGATAGGGCTCTGTCATAACTCCTGGAATTGTGGGAGGAGGTGGCCAGGCTGACGGAGGAAGCCATTGGTCTTGCTGCTCTTTCTGAGGCTAGATCCAGAAAGGCTGTTTTCTTTTATCCTCTTCTCTTTCCTCCTCTTCTCTTTCCTGAGGCTGAAAGGTCATCAAGCATCAAGGGGAAAAGTGGGTGAATCCACTGGGAGCTCAGCCAGCAGCTAAAGGGAAGACACTGGGTAATAGAGGAGGGGGAAGAGGATGAGAGGGCAGGAGAAAGGGCTGTCAGCAGCTCTTTGCCATGCACTATGTTGGGGTTTGGTCATATCAGGATAAGGCTGTCTTTTGACAGCTTATATTTTGCTTTTATACATTTCCAATTGTCCAGTCATATGGGCAAAATTGAAGAGATTCATTTGTAATTTGTGTGATTGGTCTTGCTTTTTTTCCTTTTCCCCACTCTACAGATGCCCTTTCCATTAACAGAATAGAGCATTGTTTATTCCTGCATGGCAGTTTCTCTACTCTTTGTCAGGTGATTATTGTGTTTTTCGGCTTCCTCACAAGAAGTGTCTGGGTCCCAGAGAGATTTGATCCAATTTTGCTACACCCTTGGGCCAAATAATCTCCAAGAGGCAAAGTCAGTTCTGAGGCTGTCCAGAAGGCCAACCTAGAGGGAGGACAATGGGAGCTGGCTGTCTTAACTCCATTTAGGCAGAGGATATGGAATAAAAAGGCAATTTAATGTTCATAGTTGTGTAAGAAAGGAAGTAGACCCTGCAAATTTGAGTTTATATCACTTGTCAAAAACATATAAAACATATACAACTTCTGATGAAGCCCTGTAGTCTGACACTTGAGAAGATGTCCCAGGGAAAAATCGAATCGCGTTTCCTCTCTGAAATGTCAACAAGTAAGGAAAACACAGTGATCTTTCAAGTAGCCTCCAGGGTGAGATGTGAAGAGTAAGAGAATTATAGACAATGTCAGAGGGTGAAGAACTACATCATTAGACTTCACATATTGTATATCTGATCTACACAGTTGTATTCTTTAAAACAAATGCATGTTATATGTCATTATGTTTTTAAAACACCTTCTTTCAAAAACTTGCTGACCTTTCGGTACATCCCAAGCAGTGGCTATGGTTTGTGCCCTCAGGTTCATGTGTTAAAGGTATGGTCCTTCCTGTGACACGGAAGAAACAAGGGGGACCTGTAAGTGATGGAGACCAGTGTGGGGGTGCTCGGGTCATTAGGAGTGTGGTCCTTGGATGAGATTAAGGTTGCTGTCTTGGGACCTCCCACCAACCATGAGAACAAGTTGTTATAAATCTGATGCTGACCCCTGAATCTCTCTCTGACTGCCTCTTTGGCGACATGCCCTCTCCTCCTGCCATTTTTCATGAGGTTCTCATCAGAGCTGAGTTGATGCCAGTAACAGGCCTTTGAATCTCCAGAAATGTGAGCTAAATAAACATCTTTTCTGTATAAATTTGGCTCACCTCAAGTGTTTTGTTATAGTAAAAAAAATGGACTAATACAACAAGTAAACTCTGCAATGTAGCACATCTGTAATAGGCATTGCTAATTCTTTAGACAGGTAATTAGCAAACAGTAGAATAAAGGAGCATATGTGTGATGAAGGTCAGAGTTTAAGTGGCTTTGGTAAGCCATAAGTGATTGCCAGATTAATGAGTCACTTTTCTTGGGGTAAAACTGCAAATCTCATTTTTGCCAACCCTGCTACGTACAAGTACATACTGTGAAGCTCATTTCATTGGGTTGCCTTTATGTATGGAGAATAGATTTCCCACAGGAATAAGACTTCTCACCTGGGTAAGATTTTAGCATAAGTATTTCCATTATAGAGTTTCATCTTTTATAAGATAGAGTTAAAGTGTAAAGGTCATATTAATAGTGAACTAAACTTTAATAAATTAAATTAAAAAATGAATCTAACCTGATAGCTTAGTGGCAGGTTTTTCTCAGAATAACAAAAAATAGGTGTAGCTATGTTTTTAATGCTGTAGTTTGGATATTGCCAAAGGTGAGGTTAATAGGGGTGGTTGAGGCAAAGTGAGACAGTTTTATGGCCCAATTGTATACGTGTAGAGAGTCTCTTGTTAACCCAATGGACTACTATTTAGGAAAATGGTACTATTTTGGAATGGACTTGACCTCGATTTTTAGTAGTTTATATATGGTTTTTAATTTCCAAATTTGTTTTTCCATTTTTATTTTTTTATTAGTACATCTTCGTAGGACATAATGATCGCAGTCTTCGTGGGAAATTGGTTCATGTACATAACATATTTTAATTCTTTTTTCTTTTTAGAAAGAATTCCAGCAGTCAATATTGACATGTGTTTACATTTTAGTGTTGATGAATTAATTTAAAAGAATGTAGAGATGCCAATATTGCTTTGGCTCTTCTGAGAATGTTCTCCCTGTTTACAAATCAATTACTATAAAAAAAGCAATGTATTTAAAAATCAGTACTAATAAGTGGCAGTGGAGTCATGCTGTCTGGCAAAAATAAAAAAGCAGTATTTTGGAAACTGACATTTTGTGGTTTAGGCTGTCTTTTAAATCTTACCGGAAGTTAATTAAAATGTGCTGGATGTTTTTGTTTCAAAGTTTATTTTATCTTCTTTCAGTATACTTGCTTAGTGGCAGATGCCAGAAAATTCTTCAATCCCTGGTACTAATCGAAAAACAACTTTCAATCTGGGCAGAGAGCTCAGTCATCCCAAATATCTCTTTTTAGCTGGATTAAAAGGTTTGCAATCTAAATATCTTGATTTGGAAGAAATGTGAGGAATTTCAAGGTTTCCAACCTCAAAATCATAAAAAACTTGGCCATGCCAAACTTAATCCTCTGAATTCCTTTGCACTCAAGGGTGTGATCTAGATGGGGACCCCCATGGGCAATATTCTGGGGTGACATATACATAGTTTGAATGTGTCCTCATTTTAAAAACATGAATATTAATTCATCCTGATTCCTTTAGGGAACTTCAGTTTGCTTTGATCTGTTAGTGTCACAGTCTAGGGTATTTTTCCTGGTTAGCACTTAGTCGTAGGCCCTTCAAAGATAACACTTCTAATGGTGATGACTATCTCTGTGTGTGGGAGATTGCCAGTAGTTTTCCACACTGTGCACCTTGGGTGTTTGTTTTGATGTGGCTTCAGAGGAAACTTGCAGTTGTCATTTTTGTGTCAAGGTTAGTTCAGACTTCTCTCAAGACAAAGCAGCCTCTGTGTTGCAGCCATTTGCATAGAAGTTGTAGCCAACAAACGCAGCAATGCCTCTGTGCAGTTTCTTTCTCTTTCCCTTTTCTCACCTAGTAGTTTGTTCCACACAATCCAGGTACGTGATTGGATAATAAAATTGATAATATCCTGAGTGGTGCCCAGTTCAGCAAAGTACCGGCACCCACTTCTCCAGCCAGGCCACGAAGGTTGAACTTTTGAATTTGTTCTCCTATTTGAGGAGCTCAGCATGGCAGAGAGACCAGATGTGTTTCAGAGACAGAGGAGGCTGAGACCCTGGAGAATGTCCTCCCTTGAAGAGGAATCAACAGGATTTAGAGAGGTTAGGGTGGTTTTCAGGGGATATCAGGGTAAAAACAAGAGCTTCAACTTCAAGCACTAAGGGAAAAAGTTTCAAGCAAAGGTCAATCCAAATGTATTGCTTAAGAAAGTCATAAAAATGGCTACAATGTAGAAATTGATTCCAGAATAAAAGTTATTTTGTGAATGCTTGATTGGGATTTCTAAATTGAATCATTTTTCAGCTGTAACAACAAGCGTTCAAACCACATAAGAAGCTTTGGCTTCACATATTTTTTAGTTTTCTTTCTTCCTACATGTTAGTGTGTTGATTTTCATTTTATAGCCTGGTGGTCATGTCTTCAGTTCCACTCAGCTGTTGGTATGGTAGGAGATTGCCTTGTGGTGAGTGTAGGAATTTGTGTTACAGATGAATATCTTGGTTTCCATTTCTGCTCTCACAGTTGCTGTGTGACCTTGGACAAGGTGCATTAGTTTTCTGAGTCTCAGTTTCCTTGTCTTTCAAATGTGGTGATATTTATAAAGCACCCACTACATGTTTTCCACAAAATAGGAAGCAGGAGACAGCGTAGCTGTTTTTATTGTCATGATTGCTGTTTTGATGGTTAGGCTAAATTGATATAGAAAAGCATTTAGTGAAGTTTTGCTTTGTTTTGTTTGTTTGGGATAAGGCCTTGCTATGTAGCCCAGGCTGGCGTTGAACTTGCAGTGATCCACTTGCCTGAGCCTCCTGAGTGCTGTGATTTATAGGCATGTGTTACCACAGCCAGCTAGTGAGGTTTTATAATTGATTAAAGGGAATTAAATCTAAGGGGTCAAGATGGGGCAAAAGTGTGCTGTATAAAATAAAATCATGGGCCAGGGATTTAGCTCAGTGGGGCCACAACTGACTGGCAAGTGCAAGGTCCTGAGTTTGATCCCCAGTACCAGAAAAAATAATCAGACCAGTACATAAATTGTACAACTATATTATATTATGCTGTGTATTTACACTCTTAAGTTCATTTACATTCTAATTAATCTCTCCAGAGTGTAGATTTAAAAAGTTTTCTAGAAGTTACTAATCTAAAATAATTAATATAGAGATAATTTAAAAGTAATTAATAGAGAAATTATGTGCTTTATTCCTTCATTAGTAACTTGGAGATTATTTGGGCTCTGTATGGCCTCTAAGTTTTCTTCTTGCA